TTGACTAGCGGAGGGGTTAAGGTGTCTAGCGAGGCCAAAATCGACTGATGTCTACTCAGATAGGACCCAACGATGTCCGCCTCGGCTTCATGCTTCCCTAGTTGTCTTTGTAGGAAAGACTGCGATCTAGCTTGAAGTTGATCCTTTGGGAGAGTCAAGCACTTCCTGTGAAGAAATTCAGAATTTTGTTCATGCGTGACTCTAGAAAAGCTTCTGGTGACAAACCTGGCTTGGTAGGTGAAGGCTGCGGTTAGGCGGTGAAGGCCGGCTGCTGTGAGACCAACTACGTGCAGAGCATACGTTGCCGAGGCCCAGGCTGTGGATTGCCATATCTGGAGTCGCTTGAGTTCCGGCAAGGCTCTGTCATTTGCGATGACATGCGACACATCCCTCATGACTTGCTTGCTGCAGGCTTGTCTGTGCTTGAGGGTCTGATCCTCGTAGTTGTTGTAAGAAATAATTACCCCTGAGTAGGGAGCAGTTCTACGAATAGGGATCAAGTTGCCATCTGGAAGTTTGAGATGATCACCCTCACCTTTGATTTTTACCCGATACTTAGCCAGTTCCTGCTGCGCTGATGAACCCGCGACGGTGATTAATAGAGCTGATTTCTTGGGATTGACCTTGAATCCCATCTCCGCTAGGGTCTTGAGCAGCACAGAACAGTGAGTAAGAGCCTGCTCAAATTCCTTCTTGTTTCGAAAGTGCTCCTGCAGGTTGGTATCATCTAAAAATAGAGCCGTAGATATGGCAAAGAGAGAAGGGGCAAGCTTGCATCCCTGCTTGATTCCTCTCTTAGTCATGACTGAGAAGTCAGTGCCATCTACTGTCATTTTGTAGAGGGCATCTACATGAAGCTTGCCAATTATTTCAATCAATTCAGGGTCCATTTGAATGTCTTCGAGAGCCTTGCGTAAAAGAGTTCTGTCCACCATGTCGAAAGCCTTGGACATGTCCACACTGAGAGTAAGGCTGCCGATGAGCTGGGGGCCCTGGAATTTACTACCTGCCTTGCGCTGATTGAGGCAGTGTGTCCGTCTGCCTCCGTCCATGTGCTTAAGTGCCCTGCTTATGGCTTCTTCAGTTCCTCGGTTCGGAACAAAGCCAAATTGAGGGATTCTATTGACAGACTGGCATAATCGGTCCTTGATTAGCTTTCTCACGTGGTGCGTAGCTTTTCGGGGGTATCAGGCTTTTTCCCTGGCTTAGGGAGCCATGCTATCTGCGAGCTTGTTAGATCAGTTGGGAGCAACTCCTTCGCTGTGTCCTCCTCCATGATTCCGCTATTCGCTGCATCGCTTCCCGGGAGCAACTCCTCCAGGCTGAGATCGGTGCAGATTCAGATGGGACTGCCTACTCGACAGTTGCTCTAGCACGTCATCCGCCGTGAGGCTTAAGCGTGATGTACCTCCCCCAAGAGGAAAGTCCTCACCTGTTCCGAAGAGAGCAGTGGAATAGGTTGTGAGCTCTCTTATCTCCTCCGTCTTCCTAAGGAAGCGACCTTGCGGATCTCTAAGTTGCACTTTTTCTACCGGTTTCCACTTGCTAAACTTCTTGAGTGTTTTGTACAAAGAATGCCCACCGTCTAATTGTTGTTCCTTCAAGGCACTTTCAAGTGCAACATCTAGTTGTTCCTGCTTTTGGGCCTGTTTAATTTTCTTCGAGTTTTTTGCTCTGATTCTTGCTGTAGCTAACATCTTCCAAGTGTGGAAAGAGATTCTGAGCTTAAGATCTGGAATCTGATCAGAGATAACATGTAGACATTGAGGCACATTTTGTATGGCTCTTGCTGCTCTGAAGTGATCAATTGCCCTGGTCGTGTGCTGAGCAGCCTTAGGGTAGACTTCCACTGCGGCATCCGACAAAGCTTTATTAAAGGTTGACCAAGTACGTGGAGCTGTTCTCTCAATGCACTCATCTATCTTCTGAGTTAACAGATCAGTGCGGCCTGAGCCTGTTCTGAAATCATAGTCCATGGCCAGGACGTCGTAGGGCTTAGAGCGACTTGCCGCGTAGCTCCTTTCATGGTGGATCCAGCCAAGGAGTGGCAGATGCCGGCTCCCTTCCCTCCAAGACGCTACCTGAAATGAGCGGATTGGCTGGCATGATTTTGACCTGCCTGACGCCTGCACTATTCTGCCCAATGCAAAATCAATTTGAGAGACACTGTTACCCTGCAGATGTGTAGCCGGCTTGCCCGTGGACCATGTGTTGAGCGCTGTGAGTTGATGAGCCTCCAGGAGATTCTGTAACGGCCTAACGCTCCGAAGCCTAAGCCGGGGACCTTTAATTGTGCAGGGCCCAACGCGTCTTTTATCTGAGGACGGCTGAGAATTGAAATCACCAGCAATCAATGAGGTATTTCTATGAGGAAGGTGTCTGAGATGCTTTTCCAGCTGATCAAGCAGTTTCTGACGCTGCGACTTATTAGCTTCAGTGGTGATAGCACTTCTCCAGACAAACTGGTAGACTGAGATGATATCGAGAGAGACAGTTTCTCCTGGAACTCTAACATGGAGTATTCTGCCTGGCTGCACCTCAGTGTATCTCAAGCTCTGCGCCTGACAGAGGGTTTTTCTTACCATGACTGCTACTCCTGCTCCCTTCTCGCCATTGCTACCTGAAGATATTACATGCCAGCAATCTCTGGTGAACTGCGATACTCCTCTCCAGTGTGTTTCCTGAAGAATTACCAAGGAAACTTCAGCGTATTCAGGGTCCGCCAGCTGGGAGAGCAGCTCTTCCCAAACTCCTGAGGTGAGACCTCCAGTATTCCAGCACAGGTATTTGATCGATTGAGAGTCTCGCTGCCTTGTGGAAGCCAGTGGCTGCGTTCTTGGGTTCTGGATGCAGCTACGTCCTCCCAAGGCTTTAAGGGACATATTTCTCCCTTTGTAGACAGCTGTTCCTTTCGCCTCAGCTTGATGAATGGCACGTTGATGCGACTTTTTTGGTGCCATTCAGTTTTGACTCACTACGGCGCTGTTTCGCTAATCCGCTTGGGTTAGCTCCCGCTGGCTGCGCACACCAGCAACCCTCCCCTTTCAGAGCCAACGCCCTGCTCGGAATTGGGACCGAGCCACTCAGAATGCTGACACAATCGCCATTGCTCGCAGGGGAAAGCAGGACTGTACTACCCCGGACCCCTACGTCTGAGCTCGAAAGGCTACAACAACAACAACAACCACCACCACCACCACCACCACCACCACCACCACAACAACCACAACCAGCCATGCATGCTGAGCATCATGGAGGCCTCGACACCAGTAGCATCTCTCTTGGCAAACGCCTCCGTCTGTGCCTGACACAGCAGCAATGACTATGTTTCAGCAACTCGGAACAGCTTCCAGGTACCTTGGCATTGACGGTCTGGTTGGAGGCCTGAAAAAAACAAAAACAAGTGCCTTGCTGCCGGCCAGCACAGAACCAGCTTCTGTGCACACGCTGATTGGTCGCATGCTCACACCCTCACTACTCCATCTGACGAGCAGAATGCTTGCTTCAGTACATGGGCCTAGGTTGTACTACCAGGAAACGACGATCTCCAACTAGGAATTGTCAGGTTGGGTTCCGCTCCTCCCGGAAGACCATGCACACAGCACGTCTACAGCTCTGAAGACTTGTCGTTCAGAATCCCAACACAAGGCAAACTCTGACGTGTCATAGCAAATCTCCGCTACCTGAGACGACTTAACTCAATTGTTGTACTTCATTGTGACTACCGCTAAAATCTGCTTCAGCCAATGAAGTCTATGATTCCTCGAGGTGCAATGATGTCATGATGAGTTGCACTGGCAGGCACGAACGCAATTGAGCGGCCGGTGAGGTCCCAAAGCGCTCGTCCCAGGCTTGCACCTTCGTGGTGCGGCAGGTCCGGCGCTTACAACGAAGCGGTGCTTGACGTTGGCTGCGGCCACAGTGGCGTTTACACCCATAGTTGGGCATAATTAATCATGAGAGCATGGATCCCTATAACAGTCCCTGCATAATGCCTGAAAACATCCCTTCAATATTCCCTTTGCCTGCGCGCGGGCTGCATCAGCCAGGATCTCTCGGGCAATGGGAAGCGACTCAGGGCAAAGTGCCACGGCTACAGCTAGGATGAATGTGAAGAAACAACAAGAAATGAGCCGAATAGTACTAACCAGGAGTGTCACTGGGAGCATTACGTGCAAACATGACCATTTGACGACGAGGGAAGTTAAGCTGGGGCGACCGACCCTCTCTGCTGCCCTTGCTAAACCAGTTTCAAAAGGGCGGTTGTCAGATTTTCCCATGCTTTGGCCCTCCAAACCTGTCCCGTTCGAGGTCAGTTGTTCGGAATACCTGAAGTTTTCCTGGAATGAGAGTTGGATGGATCACAGGCGAATTTCATCATGTAACGGGTGAGCAAGCCTGAAGCTGCACGAGCAAGAAATGCACGAGCAATAAATTTTGGAGGAAGCACCGCAATCTCCTGCAAATGCTGCCACTGACACAGACGCAGCCGCCACCATCAACACCTTCACCTATTTCCACCTCCACCTCCACGTTGACCTGCACCACCACCAACGCCGCCGCCTGTAGCTGCAGCTGCACCACCACCGCCGCCGCCGCGGCCAGCAGCACCAGTACGACCACATGCCAGCACCAGTACCAGCACCGCCAGTATCAGCAGCAGACATGACGTGAGAGACAAGACCGATGGTAACATTGACAGCGACAGCGCATCTTGGCTGAGGGCGTGACAACAGTCATCGGCAAACTCGAAAATTACCGGGGATGCAACGCTACTCAAAGGCCAAATGGTCCGCGGCAGGCATTGCCATGGTGCTGCCACGTTGACGAAAAAAGATGCAAAAGCGCTTGCCCGCGCTTCTGGCCTGATACTCGACTTAATTTTTCGCAGTCGCTTACTCAATCGATAGATCAGAAAAGGTACTGAGACTTCCAAGGACAAAAGCCAAGGCCAGATGCATGACCGTAATGGCCCGTCCCCAGAAAAGACATTTATTCTCTCAGCTCTTTAAGATCTGAGTAGCTAGGCATTGCCCTTCGGCATGGCACAGACACTGCATAGCCCTTGCTATGTTTCGGAGGCCCCACTCACTGTAGTAGGTGTAATAGAGCCACGGTCCCAAAACAGCGATCAGTATCAACGGAGGGACTGCATAGATCCATATCCCTGGGGCCGCCCCTGAATCTACCTGAATGACATCGCAATGATCCTTCACTGTGGAGCGGAATGTCTCTCCCAAAAAGGCGGCTGAAATGAACGCGTCAACTTCGATGAGAAACCCGAGCGCGGTGGAGTTCAAGATCAAGTCCAGCAAGCTCGACGTGGTGGAGAGGAAGCGTAGGCCTACGTAGAAAATGAACACTGCAAGCGCTGCCCTCAGTAGGCACATGACCCAGGAAAAACATTTGTGCAGGAAGGGTATGGCCACCACTTTCATCTTGCCTTCCTCAATGACCGCGAAGTCACGGTCCGAGTTGCGAGTGGAAGGGAATAACCACAACACGATGACTAAGTTTCGAATAGCTCGAAACTCTTGGAGCATGATCATCCCCCATATTAGCAACAGCATGGTGAGCAATATCACGAAATCTGAGCTGTTAACCGAGTCGCTTTCCCCAATGAACGTGTCCACGTTCTCATACTCTGCTACTTGAATGCCCTGGGTGTCAGCCTCGAACTCTGCCGTGCCGCAAACCTTCTGTGTGTGTAGGTATACTCCATAATACTGCTGCCCAAAAATCCTCCTGCAGAACTTTTTCTCCAAACCCTTGCATGCCATTGGGCGCTCATCTTCATCAAGGTCTGGGAAGGCATCCTTGAGGACATTGAACTTATCATTGGACTCTAAATTTCCGCAGAGATGCTTGTCCGCTACGACACAAACCTTCAGCTTCTGTCGGTTCCTTGCAAACCATTCCAGATCCAGATGTGAGCCCTTCTGGCTCCGGGTGACATATCCACCTTTCTGGGATTTTGCCAGGTCGTCACTAATCATGCGGAGCAATGCCCTCCTGATTCCTCCTTCCCCCCCGGGGGGAGTCAGACCGGCATTTGTTAACTGTCGCGTTTTTTCATCAGCCTCTGAAATGCTCCACAGCTTGTCACCATTAAAGTCCAACAATTGTGGGTACATTGACCAAGTTACCAGTCTTTGCCCACAGTCAAAGCCTGTCTCGAACTGTCCCATGGCGGCCTGCAGCTCAACGGGCCAAAGATTGCCATAAAAGTTCGAGTTGTTGTGAATTGTCTGGCACAGCTCATCATCTCCGAAGAGTTTGCCGGCTGTATCATCATAGCTTTTGTTAGCTATCCCAAGGACCTTCAACGAGATGCCACTCTGGACCAGGAAATTGATGACGAGAAACGGCGTAACCACCATATAATCTTTGATCCTGGGCCTTGGCGTGCCATCTTGTTGAATGCGCTCCATCTTTCTGTAAAGAGGTGCGAAGAGTGCATCTACGTAGATATCACTCTCCTCTGGGTCAATATTCCGGGTGACACGCTGCGCCTCAAAGGAATCATCACTTGACTGAGCCTCCAAAGCTTCAAAGCCTTCACCTCGCACAAACTTACCCGACATGTCTAAGCACTTCCCGCAGCAGACCGCAGCCTGCCACTGCGGGATGTTCAGACAAGGACTTGTGCCGGCTACCCGTACAGAAGAATGGAGGCTAAGTCGACAAAGGGAAAATTGAGAAGCTTGAGCAAGACGCCAGAGCGTGAAGATGAAAGTTTCCATCTTCTATTCCATCATGCTTATGAAACCCCAATATACTACATACTAGTTTCCATGTTCTTTTCCATTATCCCCTATACTTGGGGCTATACTAATGCTTTGCATGGACCGCCCAGTGCTGGGATTTTTTCTGCTTGACTGGCCTTGACCGTCTCCTGCCAGTGTGAGACAAACCTTTGCTCCTCATCACGATGCTGTGGAGCGATGGCACGTGGATTCTGCGAAGACTCGGATATGTTTCCATGTTCTTTTCCATTATCCCTATAGAACCCCTATACAATATGTAGTAGTTTCCATTTTCTTTTCCATTATCCCTATATTACCCTCTGCTTATAACCTTCCAAAGCTGCTCTCCTGGGACATTGTAGGACCAGTCATACTTAACAGTTGTAAAAATTATCATACGAAAGATGACCACAAAGATAAATGCCGTTTCCACAGCAAGCATTGACTCTGGCGAGAAGGCATTGGCAGAGCAGGCGCGGCTGGGACCCACCAGGAGACTCCGTCAAAAGAGATTTGTGGCTCAGGGACCTTGGAAAACTACAAACACTGCACTTCCCTGGGTTTGGCCCTTCTTTGGCCGCTTGCTGGCGAGTTTCTATGTACTGCAGACCTGCTGTTCAGGAACCTCAAGGAGACTCCATGACCATTGTGGACAGCCTCGGGGTGACCCTGTTGGGGAGTCCTTGGAGAAAGGGAGCCCGAATGTATGGTTCCTGAAAGCAGTGTCCAGGGTTCGACTGGCAGGCGGCTGGTTGCCAACACGCACGAGATAAGCCGCCCACTCACAGGAAACAATACTAACGACAATGCATGTGCTAACCGAAAAACAACATTTCCAATGGTGTTCCTGCAGCCCAGCAGCATACTTGCAACAAAAACAGGAGCCTAAGTAATTACAGGAGACGCGTGATTGGTACGCCCTCGGGCCTTAAGCGCTAGGATAATTTTACATTCAGCCAGTCTTTTGAGGACAGCAGCGTTTCAAGCCCAGCGGTAGCACCAGAAGGCAGCGTCAGGCAAAGCATGCCCGCCCTAGAAGACTGCCTGCCGCTATTGCATTATTACTATTTTTTCTTTATTGCTATTAGTACTATTATTGCCATTATTACTACAGCTACTATACTCACTCCTATTATGATTACTATTAGTACTGCTACAATCACCCCAGTGCTGATCAGTCACGACAGCAAGGCCCCAAAAGAACAAGCATATCAAGCCCACGACGGCAGTACTTGGCTGTACAGTTGTACTTCCGTCCTTATCATCTCCTTTTCTAGAGACCCAGGTCATCTAAGCCGTAGTCTGAACTCCTAGTATCCCCTCCCTAAACCCCAAACCCTTAGTAGCCCCTATACTACCCCCTATATAATACCCTATACGAGGAGCTGATATTATGGCTCATCTGAGGTTTGAGAATGCCGCCTCCCTCCTGCATAGGGTTCAGGGATTAGGGTTTAGGGTTTAGGTTCCGGATTGGTATCTCGTCTGTCGCGGCTTCCTAGAGATTTGTCAGGAGGAGTGTGAAGCCAATGGCAACGCCTGTCAAGGAATTTTCCCTGTGTGTAGGCCACAACTTTTATGACCCCCCTGTTCGGGAAAAAAACCCTGACACTGGGGAATTGAGGATCCACTGCCAGAACCCCACATTATTTCTGAGCCTTCTTGTCCAATACAGCGGGAATCAACATTCCCTTCATAGGCCAAGCATAACCCTAAACCCTTAACCCCTAAATCTCTGAACCTTGAACCCCTAAACCCTCAACCCCCAGACCCCTGAATCCTAAACCCTGAACCTTGAACCCTTAACCCTGAACCCCTAGATCCTGAACGTTGAATCATAAACCCTCAACCCCTAAAGCCCTGAACCCTAAACCCCCTAACCCTAAACCCTAAACCCCTAAACCCTAAGCCCTAATGTAGACCCATGATTAATAAGCCCCCTCCTTTTAAAAGCCTTAATATTAGGATCCTGGGGTCTGGGTTAAACCCTCAACCCCTAAACCCCCAAAGCCCTGAACCCTAAACCCCTAAAGCCCAAAAGCCCTGAACCCTAAACCCAAGCTGCCTGGCGGCGCCGGCAGCCGAAGTGAGAATGCCGGAAGCGATGCAGCAGGCCTCAAGCTTTTCGGCGCCTACAACATTAGCAATAACTTGGATCCTGCCACCACCCATTAACAGTCCATAATCGGGGTCCTATTAAGGCCTATATGTAAGTACAATATAAATATTATCCAACTGTTACTGAGTGGGGGCAGTACCCAAGCAATAATGAAAAGAATAGCAGTAATAGTAAGAATGAATAATAATAGGGTCATAGGGGTATGTAGGGATATTACATGGTTGTTACCCCCAAATAATGGAGAATCAAATGGAACAGAAAATGGAAAATGAAATGGACACTGGTGGTAATAATAAGAATACTACTGGTAGCAATAGTAGTTCAATAATAATTCTTGCACATCCGTGTGATCTCTGGTCTTCTGTGTCGAAGGGTGGGATTCACGACTTTTGGCGACGCAGATCAAAGCTTATGTATACATGTCACACCAGCCTAAGATCTTGAACCCTTAACCCTAAACCCTAAACCTTAAGGTTTTTTGGGTATAGGGCCCTAAACACCAGCCTAGCAGACCTGGAGTTTCTTAAGAACTTTGCAGCGAAGTACCTTCTAGCTGGATAAGATCAAGATGGGTGATCTGTTGACCCAGGATGGCACCGGGATTTGGGCGTGTCCTACAATTGGGGGGTACCTTTTTTGGGGGGTCCCCATAATTCCTTTGGTTTAGGGTTTAGGTAGTTAATAAGGATTACAATATTTTGGGGTCTATGTTGGGGTTCCCCTAAACCCTAAACCCTAAACTACCATTTCATGGAGTTTAAAGTTGCCCAGAAAGCCTTGTTCTTTGGAGGCCCATAGACGGGTCAGGGATGGACGTGGTGCAACACTCAGGCTTCAAATCATACTGTACTACCATGACCTACCGGAGCTAGGTATTCTTGAGATGTTCTGTTCATTTTCCAGCCACATATGCGAAAATGGGGGCCTCTTATCATGGGCCTGAGCCAAATGCTCGTGTGGTTTGCCTGTCCTTGGAACCCTCATGCTCCGCAAATACATGTTGAAAAACCGTTGCCAAATAAATCCTGTAGCAAGATCGGGATCCATCTTCTTTAGTTCCACATAGAAGTGGGTTCCCACAAACAAACAACCCCTGCATGATCTTCAGGAACTCCGGTGTGAATGCAATCCAGGTCGCTGAATCGATGAGTTCTCTACAGCTGGGCCTCAAGAGTGCGCATTCCATGGCATTCACTTTTTTTGAAAAGTAGGCAAGGGCTTTGGATAGATTCCAGGCTGGCCTGGATTTCTATCAGCTCAACTCGGGGATATGGATGGTGGAGGAGACCTTCCTCAGGGCTAGCGAAAGGATGTTTCAGGACTAGCTTGGGCCTGCTTGAACATATCTCTGCGACAATGTTAGCGTGCTTCCTGCTAGTAGCCACTGTGACCATGTCAGATCACATGTCCCTTCTGCATAAGATCAACCCCGTGACTGTCAGAAAAAATACTACATGTTACTGTACTATTACATTGGTATATCTCTATTCTTATGCTAATTAGGAACTATACTGGGAACTATACGAAACTACAAGAGGGACCCTATGTCCACTGTTAAGGGCCCCTTAATAAAGCTAATGTTGACAGTAGCTCAAATAGTTGCTACCAAGCAGTGAGGGGGTTGTTGGAGAAGCAATTTCAGCTTGGAAGGATTCCTGCCTCACTGTTAGGCGGTATGAAGATGCACTCACCTTCCCTTACAGGGGCTTAGTAGGGTAGGAAGTAAAGGAATATCTTATATAAGGATTATATAGGTATTATACTCCCTTGTTCCTTAGTAAGAACCAGTAAGCAGGAGAGAGCGTTCATGCTGCTTTTCCAGATGCATGTCAGCCAGCTCAGGGCTTGGGATCTGGCAGGGGGAGCTTACTGTAGGCTCTTGCTCCCGCCCCAGTTTGAACCCTTATCTTTCCGCTTGACTCAGGTTGGCATGTCCAAACAATTAGCACAACATCTTTCAACCACCTACAAACTCAAAGAACGTACTACTCATGAAGCCTGTCAACATCCAGTCAAAACCTTGAGCGCTGCACACACACACACACACTCGCAGACTACTCACACTACATGCCACTCTCGTAGGGAGTGCAATAGTCGGGAAATACCCCCCAAACTGATATGGGACAAGGCGTAGCCATTGTTTAGGGTTTAGGGTTTAGGGTTTAGGGTGGCCGTTGTAAGGCCATTGTCAGGGGAGTTTCATGCTAGTTTGGGGGGAAGCCATCCTAAATGTTAACTTGGTCCGCTGCTGGGAGGGCTTTGGTCGTGACCTGACAAACAAGTTGCTGTTGACACAAGCTTGCTGCTGAAGCTCACCCAACATCTAGAATCTATGATCATCCATGCGGCGGGGTCTCTAAGATCCTAGGCCTTCCTTTTGACCCTAAATAACAATTTCCATCTTCTTTTCCATTAAGAACTCTCAGCTCTAAAAACCGTAATCCTAAACCCCAAACCCTAAATCTTAGGAGGACCCCCCTCCCTGTAATAGTGAAATAAGAGGAAGATAAGAGGACCCTCATATAATCCTTACTATTCCTTATAGTCACTATTACTGGGTCGGGGGTCCACCTAACCTAAACCATTAAAGCACTTTCAGCTCTCTGAAAGCTCTTGGCCGCCCACAGGGCTGTGGCACGCCGGCTGCTGTCAAAGAGCCGCCAATGGGCGACCTGCCAAAGCTCTGTTCTTCGAAAACTCGGGTCGCACTGCACGGCCC